AGTACAAAGAGAACTAAAGCCCGGCTCACACACACTGTGATTTAGGCCGTGATTTGGTCGCCTGCGACACATTTTGCTAAAATCTGTAGTTCAAATCTGTGAATCATCTGATGGCATTTTAAATATTGATTAAATTGCTTATGAATTCATTTATAATGATAATTCTGTGTTAAATCATAAACCACAAAATCCAGAAGAAAAAAAAACGCATTTGTATTCATTATTAAATTGTTAAATGAATTCTACTGATTAGACCATAAAAGGGATTTCATAGTGTTGTATAAGTTATACAAATAATCAGAACCTGCTTTCTTATTGATCCACCACCTTTATACAGAGACACCTTCCCCATCTGATTCAATCAAGTTTATTTCTCAGTGTGGAAGTGCATGCTCATGTTGATGTGAAGCGAATCATTTGAGTCGGTTCCTCATGTGTGTGTGTGTGTGTGTGTGCTGTTGTTGGTTCAGGATCAGCCGCCTCCGTACTTCCCTCCCGAGAATCCAGACAAGAAGAACAACTGAGCGACACGAACACAGACTCTTCCGGAGGACCGCAGCGGTTCGCTCGTGCGCTGGATGATTCGTTCTGATCGGTTCATTTGATTCGGCGTGAGCTGATGCAGCCGATTCATGTATGCAGTTTTACTATTTAGCCAAATTAACACTTCTATCTCTACCTACTCCGTTTTTAATGTGTGTGTGTGTGTGATGCTGAACTCTTCTGTAAATTCCTTTTGATAATATTATAATCCTAATTCATAAGTGGATCAGTCTGGTGTAGACGGACGAATAAAGCTCTACATTCTGTCACTGTCCTTGTGTTTCTGTTCATTTCGTTCACGTTCAGACTCGCTTCAGATGATCAGCCGCCAGCCATTTACATTTCTAAACGGTTTCACGCAACGAAGCATCGTTTACCGGAATCACGTGACCTTGATGGAAAACTGGTTCAAAACAAGTGATCCGCGAAGGTCTTGAGCTTCACTAGCTACTGCGGTTTAAGACGGTTAGTCTAGGCTGTATATTGAACACTTGAGAACACAAGCACAAATTACACAACGGTTTATTATGATTACAGTAGTAACCTGCATGGAGTATGTGAACACAAAATCATGTAATGGTGCTTGATAGATAATTAAAGAGATGTGAAGTCAAAACTGCATTGGACATCGCAAGGAGTTTTATGTTAGCATTCAGTTTTTGGAAGTGAAAAACAATGCACAATTTACAGTGGAAAAAAAACAAAGCGTAAATTTACGTTCCCAGAATTCCCTGCGTTACATTTCACATTTGATAAATAGATAGATAAAACAATTGTCTAGCTGCTAGTGTGTTGCTATATGGTTCCTAGGGTACCCGGGGCGGTTGCTAGGGTGTTTCTATGCCGTTGCTATGGTACTCGGGGTGGTTGCTTGGGTGTTGCTATGCGGTTGCTAGGGTACTCTGGGTGGTTGCTAGGGCCAATGGTTCCTAGGGTACTCGGGGTGGTTGCTTGGGTGTTGCTATGCAGTTGCTAGCGTACTCTGGGTGGTTGCTAGGGCCATTGCTAGGCTATCCGGGGTGGTTGCTAAGGTGTTGATAGATAGATAGATACAAAAAATTTGATTAAATGAGCACGTTTCACTAATAATATTAAATTCATTGTGTCATAGATTAAATAATTTAACTTTCAATTGGGAGGTGGCTGTCCGGAACCCTAACCTATAAATTTCAACTTATGAAAATATTGAATTTTATTATTTTTTTTTATTCTTTTAAAAAGTATTCAAGAATTGTTATATTTTCTTTGTAAATTATGAAACTTTATGTAAAAAAATGTGTCCCACATTTTCCATGACACTACCGAAACAGTGTATGTTTTAGTCCATTGGCCGAGACTGATTTTAACCACACCCCTAAATTTATGATCAGGAAATATATATATATAATATATTATATAGTAGCTACAAGGTGTGAGTACATAGGTCCCATCATTTTGAGGTAAATGTGTTCAAAAGCATAACAAATCTGTGTGTAACTTTAAGGAACGTCACTACCGAACACCTTTTTTCTGCAATGAAGCACACTTTTTTGGGAATTATCCCGTAACGTTTAGTTTTTACGGGAACCTAGTTTTTACGGGAACCGTTTAGTTTTTTGAAACTTGCTCAAAGATGCTGATCAGCACATGGTTCTGAACAGTGGTACACATATCTAAAATTGTCACGACTGAAACATTTTGGTGGCGTTTCGGTTGTGACGTCTTTGTTTCGGTAGTGACAATTCAATGGGATAACTTCCAAAAAAACAGTCACGACTGAAACATGTCACCATTGTTTCGGTAGTGACAAAAGGGAACACATAATCCTCATATTTGGGGGAAATAAACAATTTTAAGTTAATTAAATGTACATTTTAGTACAGTTATTGCCATTTTTTTGTGTTTTAGTAGTGTTTTAGTATGCAAGTTAAAGTGATGTGGTCGCTACCCAAGCATTATGGTCATTACCGAAACATGGGATGTTTTGTCAAAAATAAAGCATACTGAATTATCAAGATGTTATGATAGCTTTTGGTTTAATGCATATTCAAACTAATGCACCTTTAACTTTGAAATCAGTATGATCTAATTTATGCCTTTTACAAAGAAATCTTTGTAAAAATCTCATAAATTACACTTGAAATATTGTTAAAAAAGGTGCATTTCGGTTGTGACGTCTTTGTTTCGGTAGTGACAATTCAATGGGATAACTTCCAAAAAAACAGTCACGACTGAAACATGTCACCATTGTTTCGGTAGTGACAAAAGGGAACACATAATCCTCATATTTGGGGGAAATAAACAATTTTAAGTTAATTAAATGTACATTTTAGTACAGTTATTGCCATTTTTTTGTGTTTTAGTAGTGTTTTAGTATGCAAGTTAAAGTGATGTGGTCGCTACCCAAGCATTATGGTCATTACCGAAACATGGGATGTTTTGTCAAAAATAAAGCATACTGAATTATCAAGATGTTATGATAGCTTTTGGTTTAATGCATATTCAAACTAATGCACCTTTAACTTTGAAATCAGTATGATCTAATTTATGCCTTTTACAAAGAAATCTTTGTAAAAATCTCATAAATTACACTTGAAATATTGTTAAAAATGTAATTGTTATTGATTTACCTTTGAAAAATTGTAATAACATAGCAAATAAATATATTTACAATCTAGATGTAAGCAAAATCGTAATAGGTCAATATAACGCTTGTAATTAAATTATTATTACGGTGTTTCGGTAGTGACAAATTTGGGGAGAGGACAAATATTCCAAAACTTACTGAAAATACAATATGAGAATTGATTGCACAATTACTAGACATGTGTACCTTGGATATTATACAATTTGCATACATAACATTTTTTTGGAAAAATAATAAAAAAAAATTTCTCCCAAGACATTTCCAACTCTGACTTTGAACCAATTCTATAGTTAAAAGCTGCTTGTGATGGGCTTTGGTTCATCATGTGACTTTCTCATCAGCACCTGCTTTTGGTTATCAGTGTATTCCAAAGGTACTAAACAGATTTCAGTACTTCCATAGGTTGGTATATTAACATTATATCAGTTAATGGAATTACGTTTTTGAAATGTAAATTTAAGTTAAATCTGTAAAACCAAAAATGTTGCTACCGTGGTTTTTTACGGTAAAAGTCTGGCAACCACAGCTGCTGGTTTTTTACCGTAAATTGTACAGATTTTATTTATTTTCCACAGTGCAGGAAAACCAATCTTTAATCAGTCAGAATCCACAGCTGGTGTTTCTCGGCGGTCAGACGGGTTAGTTATGACCTTCACCATCATCTACCGCAGATCAACATGAGGGGCTGTGGGACTCTGACCAGGTGTTTGCATTAGAAAACGAGAGAGAGAGATACAGTAGATGATACACTACCAGTCACACGTTTTTGAACAGTATATTTTAATGCTTTTTAAAGAAGTGTCTTCTGTTCACCAAGGCTGCATTTATTTGATCCAAAATACAGCAAAAACTGTAAAATGTTGAAATATTTTTACTATTTAAAATAACTGCTTTCTATTTGAATCTATTTTAAAATGTACACATTTTGTACACATACTGGTAAAAAATGTATCGCCTGATGCACTGTAAGTCGCTTTGGATAAAAGCGTCTGCTAAATGCATAAATTATTATTATTAAATTATTAAACTGTAATTTATTTCTGTGATGCGCAGCTGTATTTTCAGCATCATTACTCCAGTCTTCAGTGTCACATGATCTTCAGAAATCATTCTAATATGCTGATCTGCTGCTCGAGAAACATATTATTATTATTATTATTATTATTATTTAAAATGGTTGAGTAATTTTTTTTTCAGGATTCTTTGATGAATAGAAAGATGGAAAGATCAGCATTTTTCTGAAATAAAAAGCTTTTGTAGCATTACACACTATACAATTCAAAAGCTAGGAGTCAGTGTAAATATATATATATATATTTTTGTGCATTTTTGTGAGGGGGGGAGGTATAGAAATTACTACTTTTATTTGTCAAAGATGCTTTAAATTGATTAAAACTGATGATAAAGGCATTTATAATGTTACAACACATTTCTATTTCAGATAAATGCTGTTCTTCTGAACTTTATTTTCATCAAAGCAACCGGGAAAAAAAATTATGCTCAGCTGTTTTCAACATAATAATAATAAGAAGAAGAAGAAGAAGAAGAATGTTTCTTGAGCAGCAAATCAGCATATTAGAATGATTTCTGAAGATCATGTGACACTGAAGCCTGGAGTAATGATGCTGAAAATTCAGCTGCGCATCACAGGAATAAATTACACTTTAACAGAGATTCACACAGAAAACATCTGTTTTACATTGTAATAATATTTCACAATATAACTTTTTTTGCTGTACTTTGGATCAAATAAATGCAGGCTTGGTGAGCAGAAGAGACTTCTTTAAAAACATAAAAAATCTTACTGTTCAAAAACTTGTGACTGGTAGTGTACATCGAGATGGAGAGTAAGACTTCAGATTCATTAGCTGCTACAGGAATATAACGAGAAGAACAACAAAGTGCAGTAAATGCTAAAACTGTCTGCGCCATAAACCAGTGTGTACTAAAACAACATGATAACAAATCCCAGTTTATACAATGTCAAGCGGCTGTTTGTGTACAGCTGAAATAAGTGGAAGCCTTAAACACACAAACCGCTGCGTTCCTCTGCACTCTACTAGAACTCAACACGTCACAAAGGGATTATGGGTAATTTTATCCACACACGTTACGATCCGTGTCTCAGGGCTCGTCCTGCAGGAACCACACCTCGTTACGCCGGCCGTAAGGTTTGATCGGAGGGTCGTAGATGCAGCAGAGGTACTGTTTGCGATGGAAGGGGGCGGAGTCTCCCAGCGTACACATCAGTCGCAACGCTTCCGCACGAAACTCGCTCTCGCCCACGAAACCACTGAACCGCCTGCAGGGGGAGACAGACGTCACTCAGTGCCCTCGCTGCTAGAGAGGAGGAGTTAAAGAGATAGTTCACCTGGAAATGAAAGTTCTGTCATTAATTACTCACCCTCATGTCGTTCCACACCCGTAAGACCTTCGTTCATCTTCAGAACACAAATTAAGATATTTTTGATGAAATCCGAGAGCTCTCTGACCCTCCATAGACAGCAACGCAACTGTAATGTTCTCAGACCCAGAAACGTAAAACAGTCCATGTGACATCAGTGGCTCAACTTCAGTTTTGCGAAGCTACGAGAATACTTTTTGAGTGCTAAGAAAACAAAAATAACGACTTTATTCAACAATTCTTCTCCCCCGAGTTACTGTCTTCCGCCATTTTGGAGAGTACCACGATGTATATGCACGCTTTCTCCAGAGCGTAATCAATGTAATCAGCGTTGAAAGCAAAATCCATACTCTCTAACGTTTCTGGACCTGGGAACATTTCAGTTATATTGCTGTCTATGAAGGGTCAGAGAGCTCTCGGATTTCATCAAAATATCTTAATGTGTGTTCTGAAGATGAACGGAGGTCTTACGAGTGTGGAACGACATTAGGGTGAGTAATTATTGACAGAACTTTCATTTTTTGGGTGGACTATCCCTTTAAGGCCCATTCACACCAATGACAATAACTATAACGATAACGATAAAGATATGTGAGCCGTGCTGGCTAAATGAGTGTGAATGCACAATTTTGAGTTACAGGCAAAAGAAGTGAAAGATGTCAGTTTTTGTCGAATTTGAGGTTTTCACAAAAACAAGTTCATTAAGCCCTCTTCTAGCGATCCCAATGCTCCAAATAGTAATTAAACATCTCTCAGAAAACGTACAAATAAAGATCATTTTAGGAGTATGTTTTCAAACCCATGCTGATGAAAACAAAACAATCGCGCTGACTGATATTTGCAAAGCGCGTACATAAGACAAATCTCCCTATAAAGTACATTATTGTGAAATATGTCTTGGCGAGATTCACACAAACATAATCTGTTATGTCTTGCATGAACGTTTAGGTACAGAGAAACGATATCGTTGGAATCACTTTCAGAACGATTTTTTTTCCCCAGCTGATGAACGATACAAACATTGACAGCCAATCAGAATCTATCCTGCTGTAAAGAGCTCAAGAAAATTTCAAGCAGCAGATGAGCATATGCTTAGAATAAACAGACGATATCGTCCACAATTATCTGTCTGTTTTCGGTGCTCTGATTGGCTGTGTATCTGTTTGCGGCGCTCTGATTGGCTGTGTATCTGTTTGCAGCGCTCTGATTGGCTGTGATTGGCTGCATGTCTGTCTGCAGTGTTCTGATTGGCTTTATAGTTATCTTTATAGTTATCGCTCTTGGTGTGAGCGGGGCTTTACTGTGCGTTGACGTACAGGACGTATACGGTCATGCCGGGCCGCTCCTCGATGCGAATGGACGAGTCGGTCGGGGACGGGGGGGCGATCTGGAAGGATGATGGGATGCGCAGAGCGGCGACCAGGCGGCGGTTTAACGAGCCGTCGTCACGCGGAAACACGGTGAAGATGATGGGGACGGGCGTGTTCATCACCTCACCTGCGCAAACACAGATAATAACACAAAACACAGATCATTCAAACACTTCTAGCAGGAATACGGCTGATGAACACAGTAAACAAGATACGTTCTATGTTAACATCACATTCTGTTGATGCACAAACTTTATTTGTAGGTTAGGGTCCATCCAGCAATCATAATAATCTTTGTTACATATCAAAAGTAACAAATTACAAAGTCTCACCTTTTATACTGGCACTCTCTGGTTGTCTGTTTGCAGTGCTCTGATTGGCTGCTTGTCTGTTTGCAGTGTTCTAATTGGCTGTGAATCTGTTTGCAGTAGAGGTTGACCGATATTGGATTTTACAGATACCGATAACTAGGTTGGACCACACTGGTCGATACCGATTAATCATCTGATGGAAAAGGCCTACTGAATGGAAACTAAAATAGTGCTCTACTATTTTTATTTTCTTTTTTTTTAAAGGACATATTTTGTAAAAGAATAAAAAAATATTAATTATATATACACTGAACAAAATTATAAACGCAAACAAAATTATAAACGCAACACTTTTGTTTTTGCCCCCATTTTTCATGAGCTGAACTCAAAGATCTAAGACTATTTCTATGTACACAAAAGGCCTATTCCTCTCAAATATTGTTCACAAATCTGTCTAAATCTGTGTTAGTGAGCACTTCTTTTTTGCCGAGATAATCCATCCACCTCACAGCATAGGCCTTTTGTGTACATAGAAATAGTCTTAGATCTTTGAGCTCAGCTCATGAAAAATGGGGGCAAAAACAAAAGTGTTGCGTTTATAATTTTGTTCAGTATATATATATATATCATTAAAGTTAGTTAATTAATGTTAACAAAAGCAACTTGAAAATGTAAAAATATATCAGTAAATGTTGAAATTAACACACTCTAACAAGGGACAATTGTTTTCTGTCGGTTGAATGAACACATCAGTTTGCTTTTTCACGTCACCGCTTTAAATCGTGACAATAAACATTTGAGCTGGACTTTTTTGGTCACATTGTTTTAACTGCTTGAGGTGCTGCTAATGTTCGTATCCTCTCAGCCTTGATAGCAAACATAGTGCTGTTCTTTCTCCACTAATGCAGCATCTAGTCAGCAAATTAAGTGGAAAGAATCAGGTGTCAAAACAAACAGCAGGTGCTGTCAGTGATATGCCTCTAGAGGCCATTCTCCCTCTCGTTCTGTATAATGACCGCAGACACTTTTCAGTCGCTCCAGCAACAAACGCAACCCAGAAAACTATTGGCATGGGTTTTTGCCGATAACCGATAGTTCCGCCAATTAACTATCGGTGCCGATTAATCGCCAAAATCGATACATTGGTCAATCTCTATGTAGTTTGCAGTGCTCTGATTGGCTGCGAGTCTGTTTGCAGCTGATTGGCTGTGTGTCTGTTTGCAGAGTTCTGATTGGCTGCGAGTCTTTTTGCAGGACTCTGATTGGCTCACCTTGTTCATTGTCACCGCTCATGTAGGCGAGAAGCTTCCGCTGAAGATCACCTGACACCTGATCAAAGTTCCGCCCCTCCAGACTCACACACACGTGCTTACACGCATCATAGCGGCGCACCTCATAACTCACCCCATCCTGAGAGATAGACAGACAGACAGAGAGACAGACAGACAGGCAGAAAGAGACAGACAGAGATAGAGATAAAACAATTTTGAATTGAATTGATAGAGAGAGAGAGAGACAGAAAGAGAGAGAGAGACAGACAGAGATAGAGATAAAGCAATTTTGAATTGAATTGAATTGAATTGATAGAGAGAGAGAGAGAGACAGACAGACAGAGACAGAGAGAGAGATAGACAGAGAGAGAGAGACAGACAGAGATAGAGAGAGACACAGAGAGGGACAGACAGTCAGCAGTGAGTCAGTTCATTTCAGCAGAATAAACGCCTTCAGCCACACACACACACACACACACACACACACAGAATCACTGTGTGTGTGAGTGGTAATTATTGTCTGTCTAGGTGTCAGTTGGACTCTGTAATTAATGCTGCTCTGCTAATATTAGCTCATGTGTTTAATTATTCATATTTGAACGTGCGTAACGTGTGTGTGTGTGTGTATTGTGTATCAGCTGTAATTAAGAGTGTTTTAACGGCTCAGATCTCACGACTGTGTGACATTTCAGCTCAATGTCTGAGATTCATCTCGACGTGACACGAGCACAAAAGAATCACACGAAAACACGTTTCGCCACAAGCTTACTATTAACATTGTGAAGGTTTTCTGCATTATTTTACAGACATTCACCTCGAACTGTCACCACCGTAACACTACTGTCGTGCAAAGATCTCAATCACCTCCAGACACAAAGATGTTTAACATTTTTGCTACATTAATTCAATATACTAATACCATGTTATACTTAAAATTGTACTTTTAACTTACTACTTCTTTACATGACAGTTGTGACCATGTGTTTAATTGTTGTGCACATTATGTCAGAATGCAAATATGTAAAACTCATAAAGCTCCAACAATAGGCTTGATTCTTGCTTTCTCAATTCTTTCGTTCGATTTTGTGATGAAAAAGAGCCAAACGTAATCTCAGATTCATACGAAGGAAACACAAGCACAAGTTAACATGCAGATAATTAGTTAGTGATGGTGCAGAGAGTGATGTGAGCTGAACTATCAGTAACTATCACTTCAATCAATCAGAGAGTTATTACAGTGTGTGTGTGTGTGTGTGTTACCTTGCACTCGGTGCTCAGCAGTTTATATTCGCTCTCTTCGGTGGCTCCAAGCAGCCAGTTTTTGATCATGACAAACATGCTGAACACAGCTGAAGAATCAAGCCTCCGTCAGGTGTGTGTGTGTGTGTGTGTGTATGTGTGAGCTGCGCGTCTCCTCCCTCCTGCTTCATCTGTCATCGCAGAACAGCCTGGATCACTGCACTTATAGAGTCAAGAGCACAGAGACTCACATAGAAGAGTCGCAGCATCTCGAGCTCAAGCCTGAGGACAAAACATGCCACAATCAGTCAGACTAACACGCACACACACACACACACACACACACACACACACAGAGATGTGTTATTATGCTTCCTGTGTAAAAATAATAACACTAGCTGTGTTTCCATCCACCTATTTTTAGGCACATTTTGGAATATCGCATTAAAAAAATGCTGAATGGAAACGCCAAGATGCGCACAAATTGTGAAAATGCGCATAAAAAAACGTATGCGCACATTTGAGTACGATAAACTTTTCATCCGATAAGAAAAAATGTGCATAAAGTACAATGGAGACACATTTACCAAATAAATTCCACCATGCGCATTCAACTTTTTTCTCAGAATTGCGAGATATAAACTCTCAATTGTAAGAAATTAAGTCAAAATTGCGAGATATAAGCTGACAATTCTGACTTTTTTTCTCAGAATTTCATAATATAAACTCTCGATTACGAGTTATAAAGTCAGAACTGCGAGATATAAATTCGCTATTCTGAGAGCATATCAGTCTTTTTTCCCCTCAGAACTGGACATTATAACTTGCAATTGCGTGTTTAAATCTCACAATTCTGAGAAAAAAGCCAGAATTGCAAATTGCAAATTTTTTTCCTCAGAATTACTTGATACAAACTTGCAACTGCAAGAAAAAAGAAAAAAAAATTGTGAGATAAAAAGTCGCAGTTAACTTTTATTTTAAAAATTCAGTGGCAGAAACTGGCTTCCATACAAAGAGCTACTCGCCTCTATAGCTTATCATACAAAACCGAATTTGAATGGTTTAATGTTTTCACCTCAGAAAACACACGGAACCATGTTCACCTGTTTTAGAGTCACGTGTTCTTCTATCTCGTGTCGTTTAGTTCATCATGAATCTGGGAAGATCATTCCACCGCTGAGGAACAGTGACAGTAAAGGTCCTGGAAAAACCATGAGGTGCCCCAGGTAAAAATAAAGTGTACTTGAATGCACTAAAAATACTTAAATACAAGTCAGTACATTTGTAGTACATTCTTATTTTTTTTTGTGCTAAATAAAACTGAAAAAGTTATACACTATAAGTTCAATAATTAAAAGTATATTTCTACTTCAGTAATACTTCAGTGCAATTGCAAAAGTATACTAAATACCACTGATATTTAAATTGATTTTTAGTGCATTGAAATAAAGTATACTACCACAAAAATATGACTTTTAGAGGACTTTTACATTACATTTAGTCATTTAGCAGACGACTTACAAATGAGGACAATGGAAGCAATAACTAATAATAATAAAATAAAAATTAATACATTTAACTTTTATTAGTATATCTCTTAAAAGTGTGCTTTGAATGATTTAAAAATTAGTTAAATGTTAGAACACTTTTATATAGCTATCCTAAATTTAAATTAAATTGATTTTATTTGAAAAATGTTAGTAATGTAATAGTTATAAGTACATTTTCTCAACTGTGCTACTTAAGTACGCTTAATATAAATACACTTAAGTGTAGTGAAATTGTGCTACAATTTATTTACAGAAACTTCTTGTGGATTTTTATATATACTAATATATATCACTAAGTTCTGTTTGGATTTTCATGAAAAACTCAGTAGAAATGTATTACCTATAAATGCACTAATTGCACATGATTGGATTATTCATTCATATGCGTTTAAATGTGTTCCAAAATTCACAATTTAACAGTAAGTATACTTTTAGCATAAAGTACTTGAAGTGCTATATTTTTAATGTGGAAAAAGTGCTATTAATGACATAGTAATAGTGTACTTGATTGTACTATTTGCACCACTAACATGTTAAGTATATCATATAAAGGGAATATTAACATATGTACAATACATTTGAAGTGAATTATTTATTTAATGTATAAAAATATGTGGGCAATACATTACAAACACATTTTGTATATATTCATTATATAGAACCAAAATAGCACAGTTGAGTACTTCTTAAGATTATCTTAAGAAGTACTGAATAATAATAAAAAAAAAAAATGCACACATTAAAACAAGCCAGTAACTGTGTTGTCATAATTACGTGAATTATGCATTTCTGTGGCAACACTGCTAAGACCAAAATAGGTCTGCGATTCAAGGAATCAGCAGTTATTTTTGCATTATTAAAATATTAACAATCAGATATAATAATTATTAATTATTAATTAATTATTACAGAAATAGTGCAAAATACCTGCTTAAGTTTACAAGTAATTATGAGTCCTGCAAAGACATGAACATGTTCAAATAACAGCTGATATCCCTGTTCATTCATCACATTTATTTTTCAGGATTCACAGATGAACAGAACAGCATTTATTTGAAACAGAAATCTTTTGTCACATTATAAATGTCTTTACTGTCACTTTAGGTCAATGTAATGCATAAAAGCATTCAATTCTTTAAAAAGTCTAATTTACCCCATACATTTGAATGGTAGTGTATCACGGTTTCCACAAAGATATTGTGCAACACAACTGTTTTCAACATTGATAATAATCAGAAATGTTTCTTGAGCAGCAAATCAGCATATTAGAATGATTTCTGAAGATCATGTGACACTGAAGACTGGAGTAATGATGCTGAAAATACAGCTGCGCATCACAGAAATACATTACAGTTTAACAGAGATTCACATAGAAAACAGCTGTTTTACATTGGAATAATATTTTTACTGCATTTCTGATCAAATAAATGCAGCTTTTGGTGAGCAGAAGAGACTTTTTAACTCAAAAACATTAAAACATCTTAATCCAGTATTTTGTCCGTCAGTGTAGATGCATTGTGGATTATAATCTCTGTTTATAATTTGGGTTTTAGTGTTGTTTCCCAGTAAATCAGGAGAATCTGTGTGTTTTATTTGGACTTTTGTTTGTATGATTTTGTGGAACGCTGAATTCCAGCACAGATTCACTGACACACACACACTGTTCGTGATTCAAAGTGATTTAGTTTATTTGAAGATAAAGACACAGAGTCAGACTCAGACACACACACATACACAGAGTCAGAAACACACACACACACTCAGAGGCTAATCCGGATCAGATCAGGTGTCAGATCAGTGCTCAGATGCGTCACACTGACGCACTATAAAAGCTTCATGTGGAAAAACCAGCTTCATGCAGTAAATCAAGCTCGCGTTTCACTCCATTCACTGAACCAGCGGCCAGGGTTGCCAGGTCTTCGCAAAAAACCCACACAATTTGCTACTCAAAACTAGCTCAATCGCGTCCACCGATTTTAAGCCTGGTTTATATCACCGTCCCTTTAAGACAAGCCATGTCACTCAGCGGCCATCTTTAAAATGCCTCTCGGGCATGCAATTGCAGCTCCTATCTCTTTGAATGAGGAAACTTCAAATTTTCCAAAACTGTTCGCTAAGCTTGCGATTAAAGAGTTAGTTCACCCAAAAATGAAAATGATGTCAGTAATTACTCACCCTCATGTCGTTCCGAACCCATAAGACCTCCGTTCATCTTCGGAACACAAATTAAGATATTTTTGATGAATTCTGAGAGCTCTCTGACCCTCCATAGACAGCAAGGATCCTTACACGATCAAGGCTCAGAAACGCAGCAAGGAGATCGGTAAAATAATACGTGAAATCAGCGGTTCAACCGTAATTAAACAAAGCTACGAGAATACTTTTTGTGCGCAAAGAAAACAAAAATAACGACTTTATTTCATATTTGAAATCACCAAACAAATCTGACAACAACTGTATCATAAATGTTGTTTATTTTTGCTCAAATGATGTTATAAAAGCGTATTATTACAGGCCAGTGCACATGTGTGGTCCTAAACGCGCATCTCAGAACATTGACTATAACAACTGGGGCACTTCTAACGGCAGCTGCAGTGACGCGCTGACTTTACCGATTAGTGATTGGCTCTTTTGCTCAGAAGGCGGGGCTTCGTTCAATACAGCCATACTGAGTGTTGCATTTTTCTCCATTCAAAACTATACGAGTGACACGTCTTGGGTATTCTATAGTCTTTGTTTACACCCCCGAACAATCGGGGGTGTGGCCCAATTCAAGGCTTGTCGTAAAGGATCTTTGTCCAAAAAAATCTCCATTTGATTGTCCTCCATTTGTTTTTCTTCTCTAGTCGCGTTTGATCTGGCGAGTCTCCATGAGATCTCGTGTCACTGTGAAATCATTCCTACAGTCATCAAATGTGTGGTCTCGCGGTCTGCTCAAATCGTCTAGTGTGCACGTTCAGAGGATTATAAGCTAAAAATGGGTTGAAACGGTCTTCATGTCTGGGCTCTCCCATGGTCTAGTATCTATTGTCTCGATTTCAGAGTACCCTAGCAACTTTTTCCTTCCAAAAGCACCTAGCAACAAATGTAGCTATTTTTATAATTTATTTGGCGACTTTTAGCAACTTTTTATAAGTGACTCAAATGATAAAAAGGCACATTTATAATTTAAATTACACAAAAAGATAAAAATTGCCTATACAACATTATCCGTTGTAACCCGAAAACACAAAATACAATACGTAATTAACAATGCAGGTAAAAAAACCTGTAGAAAAATCAATACAGAAAATTCCTTCATAACATAGTAGATAGTGCCCTATTTTATAGACTTTTCTTAGAGTGTAGCACACTAACTAACTACTAATACACTGCTTAAAATATACTTTTTCAGAATGTCTAGTTTTACTTGTGTACTAGCTAAAAAAAAAACTTAAAATCGTTTAAAAAAATTGTACGTTTTCAATAATTCAATGTATTTAAAAATAGTTATTTATATTTTAATATTTTATTAAGCATTTATATTATTTTACGAACAAATCTAAACTAACATATATAAATATATATTTTTTGCTGA